TCACCCCAAGTCCTAATCCTCTGTTTGTCACATCATAATCACTTCCCCAACTGAGTATCGTTGCTTCAGGTGGGAAATAAAGCAGCAGGAGCAGATGCACTCTTAGAAACAAAGATCCTAATTTCTTACAACAAGGGACATCCTTCACTAAGCCTATTTGGCTTTCCAGATTATATCCTCCTAGTGCCACACAGGTAATACATGAATGTTAGAAAATCACCCATGTAAAATAGTCTGGTTTGTCCAAACACGGTGGGGAGGAGGTAGTAAGGCAGGGATCAAGTAAATGTCTCTTAGGTGTCACTCAAAATAATTGCTAGCATCTACTAACAGGGTAACATTCACTGGTAAGAAAAAAAAAAAACACACTCCAGAGCTATCCTTACAAAGCCACACTTAACGAGATTTTTTATCAGCCAGGGACTGTGGAAATCACTAACCAAAGTGCCTCAGACCTGGAAATATGCCAGCCATGCAGGAGGCAGGGTTTCTCTTTGGTATTTGCTATAAGCTCTTTCATATTTTTCCTAACAGCGAAAACAATCTTGTCATCTTTTTACTTGTCATTATTTTCATTTCCTCCCTGGCATTTTTGTCTAAAGCTTTCAAAAACAAAACAACAAAAACAAATTAAAACAGAAAAGAAAAAGCCAAAAAGAGGATATAGCATGGTAAAACATGGTCTCATTTAATCACTTGAGAGATACAAATGAAAACATCTCCATCAGGAGATAAAATACATTTTCTATTTTGTTAACATTAGAATGGAGTGGCCCTTGGCAGAGGTAATGGGATGATCAGAATGTTTATTGGTCAACTTAAAGTTTAAGAAGAGTTCTTTGGGGACCAGCAGATGGCATAATGGTTACATCACTGGACTCCCATATATTCAACCATGGTTTGAGTCCCAGGCCCGGTGACTAAAAACTCATGAAGGTGCATGTGCATGTGTGCTCAAAACCCTAAGAGGAAAATAGAGGAGAAAGGATTGTGGCATTGCCATCCTCCCTGGGAGGTGATTTTTTGTGTTCTGTCTCTGTCTCTCTGGTTAAGTGCACCCACCCTGTAGCAAAAAAACCTCACTAAAAAAAAAAAAAAAAAAGAGTTCTTTGTATAGCCAAGCCTTCAAATGGGCTCATATCTTCTGACTTTAAATGTCCATCAATAAATGTTAGTTCTAAATTAATTATCCTTAGAGGAACTAGTAAAGTGAACTGAAACTTATCTTATATTTTCCTGGAAGGCTCCCTGTCTCATTCAACTTAAAAAAAAGAAATTGGGGTGGAAACAGCAAGTGAAGTAGTGCTGGATTCCCACACAACTGCCCATGGTTCAAATCCTAGACCTAGCAGCTTGAAAATCATTCTGGGTACGTGTATGGCCTTATATTATAAGTACATATAAGGCATGTCCAAAATCTGAGAAGGAGAATGGAGAAGGGATTGCAGCATGGCCATCCCCTGGGGGATGATTTTTCACCCTCCCTCTCTCTGTCTCTTTGTCTCTCTCTGGTGAACGCACACACCCAAAAGCTGCCAAAAAAAGACACCTTACCACTAAGCTAGTGGTAAGAAAGCCAAGCTTAGTGGTAAGAAAGCCAAGCTGATGAACTCAACTAGACTCCTCAGAAGTACACAGTGGCAAGAAGGTCCTGGTAAGAACAAGTAGGTGAATAAGTAAAATTCAGAAGAGATAGCTCATGAGGTAGCAGCATTTTCCTCATCTGAAAAGGATAGCTATTGTATTTAGACTAATTTGTACTTTCTTTTGAAAGGTTTAATTAAAGTAGTATGACAACTACCTTGCTGATATTGATATTTTCATTATCAAGACAAGCGAGTAACTACCAAGTGAGATGTACTAGCTAGAGAATATGTTCTCATTGGAAGAGACCTGGCAATGGCGTGCACGGCTAGGAGCATCTGGGCAGAGTGCTTACAATCAGTCATCATAGCCCAAACCAGTGCAGTTCCCGGCATGTAGAGAACACGTTCAACTGTAGATAGTTGAAAAGAATGAGTGAATGATGAATTACGAGAAATTCTAGACGGTGTTAGTAATGATCTGTATTCATTTGCTTGAAGCTTGTCTTCCTATTAGACTTTACTCATGAAAGCCAAGGCTCTATCTGACTTGTATCCATTATTTAAAATAGTATCCAATTCAATAAATTATTTGTGGGATAAATGAACAAATATATAAATGAAAGATATATTTTACTTTGAGAAGCTATTTATTCAGCTATGACCAATCTTCATATACCTAACTGTGGAAGTACGAATTGGATAAATTTACAAGATAGAATAAATCCATTTAAGTATACTAAAATCTTAAATAATTAAGACTCTTTTTCTTTCCATTACTGCCTGCTTAAATTCTATGTCATAGCAACTGCTCAGTACATGGTTATACTCAAAGAAATTCAAGAAAGAATTAGAAAAAAAGGGGACTTATTTTTATTTTTCCCTTCTATTGGCAAGAGAGGCCAGATAAAATACATATTTTATAAAAGTACATGTAAGGTCAGTCAGTAAAAATTTACAATGGTGTAAAAATTTTAGGGTGCATCATAATTCTTAAATTAAGGAAGGTTAGTATATAAAGAATAAAAATACTTGTCTTCCAAAAGTAGTGCAGATTAGAAACTAATATATAGAGAGAGAGACAAAGTGAGAGAGAGGAGACAGGCAAGGGGTAGATTTTACTTCTGCTTATCAAATAATCAAAATAAAACAAACATGTTTGCAATGTCTGTGCTACAAAATTCAAAATGCACATATGTAAGCAAGAAAGAACACGCTGAGATTAGTAGTCTATATACCAATATTTATCCATAGTTGGCTGTAAAATGATGATCTATCTAAATTTACCTGGCACAGTACTTTAGATCTAATTAATCATTGTGAAGGGGTATTCATAAGGTAAGAGAACAACAATCCCATAATAGTTCACAGACGGTTTTGAGTTATCATGTTTTAATCAAAAACATGTGTTAATTCACTACTACATTAAAATGCTCAAAATATATAGAACAACTTAACAGTTTCTTTGAGTACTGATGAGGAAATGCTTCAAAACAGGACTCAGGTTGCATACATTTCTTAGAACTTTCTATAACTCACTTATTTTAAAGACCAATTAAGCATCATCTTTGGATGTGCTTCCATAAACAATTACCTCTAGATCTTTCAGCACAGGAGACTAGATGGGACCCATCAATTTCAATTTTATGTCCCCTTCCTGTACTTTTATGCAAGTAGAAATGATTCCCTGAACACATTTCCACATTGCCTTTGCCAGCTATGGTGAATCCAATCTAATACACTCAATTCAAATAAATTGCAGACCTAGGACTAAATTTCACTGATGGCTAAGCTCCTTGCTACTTCTCCCAATCAGAATCTGCTAGTCCTCAGAAGAGAAGCAGAAAAAAAACAAGCTCTGCAGAAAAATGGGGCTGCGGGTTGGACTACCAGTTGACAGACAGTGCCAAGAGAGTAATAAAGAGCAGCCTTGAAGATGAGACTGCTTAATCGTGGCTTAAAACAAATAAAAAATAGATTTGGCTGTGTCATGTTGGTCACTATCAGATCAATGTGATCAGATATTTCGTAAAACTATCAGAACTTCATATTTCTGAAACATATCTCATAGTGCATTGTAAGTTGCTCTTTCCAACTGGTTCAACTACACATATTCTGATCTGATTTTTAAAAGATTTCTTCCCAATTTAGATAATTAATTTCCATAGTCTGAAAAATTCCAATTGCCCTTCATATGCACACACACACACACACACACACACACCCCTATATATATATACACACACTACTTATTACATATATATATAATTTATTATATACCACTTATTACATATATTACTATATATAATATATTGTTCATATCTATTATATTGTTTTAAAACACACATACATATATATAAACTTTCTTCTACATACTAAAACTTAATTTATTAATTTGAGAACACTTTTAATTTATCAGCTTTCTTTAATCCTAACTAGGGAATATTTATACATTTCAGATTCAAATTAACACTCTTTTAACACATTCAACTCCACTCTCCAGCTTATTAATAAAACTATTGAACAGACTTTTTGCAGGACTATATTAAACATCTCTTCCTAACTTGACATAAGATCACTGATTCTGCATTTGCTTTTCCTTGGCCAATTCTTTGTCCATTTGGGGACAAAAATTCTGTAATCTGATATTTTAATTTTATCCTAAAAAAATGCTATACAAAGTCTGTACTATCTACATAAAACAGATCTGCATAATAATAAAATGACATGCATTGAATCTTTACAAATTACCACATTTAAAATGTAGAAGAGTAATTTATACATTGTAGAGTGCTTTATGGTTTCCACTATCAGTTATTACGAATGTCTTTGTGGTTTCATTTCTAATGTTTAAGTGCTATGGAAAGAAATAATTTGTGATAAGATTCAACAGTGGTGCACAAACACATGTGCACATGTGAAATTAAAAAAAAATCATACTAAATCTATGACAATTAATGTTCTACATAAAAACAATGAAGGCTTACTATTTTGTTTTCATGTAAAAGTACCACCAATTCCATATATGAGACAAATGTATCTAACATGAATTTTTCTAACTGTGCTTTTTAATATAGAAAACATTTTACAGACAATATTTCTTTTGTTTCTTTTTTGCGTATGGCTTAGATTATGGTTAATACCTCATGACACCAAAAGTAATACTGCAACAGATATTAAAGCATTTTTTCAGCCACTTATTCCATAAAATATTAATTACAAGGGTGTGCATGTGCTGTGTATATAGGGGATTAGGTAACCGAGTTCCTGCTCAGTTCTAAATCAATAAAAGATAACAGGCACAGCATCAATCATCATTCACTCTTCCTTGGTACCTAATAACTGCAAATTTAAGAAATATATATTTAAGCCCTCACAGAGATATTACAAGCTAGTGAGAACGTGAACAGTACTTACCTAGGAAGGACAGGTTTTTCTCTAGAAGCAAGTCCCTCAATAGGACTTCGTGTTCATGACCAATGGCACTGGGAAGTTTTGGTTAAGGAGAGGAGCACAGTTAATACCATCAAGAAAATGCTAACACCAGATCCACACTTTGACAGGAAATGAGGTAATTATAGCATCTCTTTTCACCGATAGCCTCTCTCTTTGAAGAATCAGATTTTTACACACATTTCTTCATTTAAATGGCTCAATGGAAGTTTTCTATAATGTGTATATTTATGTATTATGGCAAACAAACATTTGTAAATGTACGTGTATATTAACTTCTTTTAAAAAGAGGGAAAGTCATTTGAAACGTTCATTCATCTGTGTTAAGAATCCTGAATTCAGGACCAGCAGTTAGTATAATGGCTGTGTCGCTGGACTCCAATGTAGTCGACCGCAGTTCGAGTCCTGGACCTGATGACTTAAACTCATGCCGGGCACGTGTGCATGCGTGCCCAAGATCCTGACAGGAAAATGGAGGAGAAGAGATTGCGGCATGGCCATTCGCCCTGGGGGGTGATTTCTCGCTTTCTGTCTATCTCTCTCTGTCTGGTGAGCGCATGTGCCCTATAGCAAAAACCTCTCAAAAAAAAAAAGAAAAAGAGAAGAATCCCGAATTCAATTTAGCACACTTTTATTAAGCACTTACTCAGTACAGCAAAAGATACCAACCAGCTTTACTCTAAAAGATTCTATAATAATCTTACAGAATTCTATAAATCTTCTGTGAATTCACATTTGTCACCAAGCCAGCATTTAGCAGATCTTCTGATGTACTCTGATTCTCCTGTGAGTGATCGTCTGTGACTTAAAAGGCCGAATAAGCAACTTGTTAAAAAATACGTGTAATCTGTAGGAAAGGTCTTAGTAGAAAACTGTCCATTAGGATGTGGGTACAGCAGCTGTTTCAAGAGTTCTTTTCTCACGTGCATATACATGTGTACATACTATATAAATGTGTATAAATATAAATTTTACAAAATGTAATTTTTTCAGTGCCTACTAAGTGGCAGGCATGGTAGTAAGTGCTTTATGTATGTTATTTCATCCTCACAATTACTATAATCATTATTTTATAGATGAGGAAAATGAGGCTTATGAGGGAACTTGCCCAAGGCCACAGACTCCATGTATGGCAACACAGAGAATGAGAACAAGATTTCCATGTAAATTAAAATGCCATTTGTGTATTGTTCTGATAATCTGGTAATGTTAACACTGCATACAGTCAGTAATCCGGTACTTTAATGCAGCCAAAAGTATCTGACTTTGGGGACCAGCAGATAATGTAATGGCTATGTCACTGAACTCCCACATAGTCGACTGTGATTTTAGTCCCAGACCTGGTGACTTAAATTCACACCACATGAGTGTGTGTGCATGCCCAAGATCCCAAGAGGAGAATGGAGGAGAAGGGATTGCAGTGTGGCCATACCCCCTGGGGCTGATTTCTCGCTTTCTGTCTCTCTCTGTCTTTCTGGTGAGCACACACAACCTATAGCAAAACCTCTCTTAAAAAAGTATCTGACTTTGCAGCAGAGACTGGTTCTGATAATCATATACAAGAATTCAACCTAAATCAAATAAATCTTAAACATCATTGTAAAAAATAAATAAAATCCTACAGAATTATCCTGCCCTTTATCAACACATATAGGCAAATACCACTTAAATCTTATAATTCAAGAGATGTGGAATTTATGTTCACTATCAAAATGGGCCCCCCAAGTCACCATTACTGTTTTTTCCCACTGTTGCTTTTACCTCCTCATCAAAACAAGTGACTGTGCTAACTTAAATTTGTAATTGGGAACAAAATAAAGAAAACAAATTTTTAAATCATAAGACTTAATTTTCAGAGTCCTCTGAAGAGATCTGATGAATAACTCTCCATAGTCTCTTATTACTAGGGACATCCCACATTTTACAACTAAATTATTTACTTCTATTCCACATAAATGTGCTCTTACTTTTATTGTTGTAAATTATTTACATCTAAAATGTTGAATCATGAAACTGAGGTTACTGATGGTACAGAAATGAAAGCCACAGCATTTGAAGCTTCCTGTATCATTATCTTTCCTTGTTTCTCTATTTAGGACTATGTCTAATAGCTGTGTTCTAGGGTCACACTTTGTAAAATTGAGGTGGCTGGTTTCTCACAATTTTTCTTGGTGAATATGAGCTGTGGTGGGAAAGGTGTGGGTAGGCACAGCTGGGCAGGAAATAATACAATAGATACCCAAAGAAAGAAAAAGTACAATGGCGATGTATATGTGCTTTACTAACCATGCCTTTCATGGGGCCTTATTAGTATATGAGCAATTTATGTTATTTGACTTACACAAATGCCTACATGTAACATTTTTATAATGCAGTAAAAAAAATTTTGCACCTAGTCTGTTTGCCAAATGGGTGCTTTCTTTCTTACAAAATGATGTAATTTACTGAGAGGAAGCAATGTAAACATTACTAAATTATCAGAACAACACATAAATAGTATTTTCACTCACATGGAAAACCAATGATTTTTATTCGGCGTGAAATAAAATAATTCCTGTTGATCAGTCCAGGAAACAGCTATGTCAGTGTATTTACATTGTATGAAATTGCTACTACTTTAATACAAAGATAAAATCAGTTTCCCTATAAAGTTCCTGGCCTGTTTTATTTTGCATGGTAAAAGCATCACTGATTTGAAATTTTGAAAAGATATACCTCTTGATTATGCTTTGCTTGACATAAACAAATATAAAATGCAAGATCTAGAAAATCATGCTTATAAAAACAGTAATTTTACTGGTGATTCGCATAATGGAAGTACAAAAATTATAATCTAGTCAGTGAATGCAATTTATAGCTATATACATCATTATCTTTATCAATTGAAATCATGTACTACATTAAATTCTACTGGCAATAACATAGCTAAAAAAGGCAAGTGAATTATGGCAAAAATGTAAGGAAAATAGTCCAAACAGAATTTATAATGCTCTATAAGCAGAAACACTTAGACTTTGTCTATAATAATACCTATTATTGATGTATGGCAGTGACCATGGGGCAAAACTTGTAAATAACCTCACAAGCCATTTTCTTCGCCAGCAATACAGCAATCTAGTTTCCCGTAAGCATCTCAACTATTACTGAAAAATAGCCTCCTGGCATTTACAAAGCAGTTGACTTCATACTTTAGTCCATGCATATATAATTAGATAGTTATATTTAAAATCAATATGCAATCCTTCAAAAGACATTATGCTTTTAAAACCTTAACTTTAAATTGATTTTTAACTATTTTATGTGCTTTAAAATTAACATATAATTCAGCTCTCGATACTCTAAGAGGGTGTTAGTTTTATATGAACGTGCCAAACTTTATCACTGTAGCAACATGAGGTTGGCACTTCTACGATTTCTAACACCATCATTAATTTTATGCTGAAAATAGAAGTATAGCTTCACTTTGGTTAATAAAAAGGCAAGCCTGTGACAATGCTGTGTTTTTACTAATTTAAGCTAGATTGGGGGAATAGACTTGAAGAATATATTAAGGTCTATCCTAGGTATTGAGTATCTTTCGTGAGAGGGCTCTGCTAAAAGATTATTTATTAAATGTTAACTTTATTTATGAAAGAGTAATTTCCTTATCAAGAATTTCATTGACACTAAGTTTTTGTGAAACAGGTGGAAATCAAACATCCACATGCACACCCACACACACCATGCAAACACATTTGACTAGCAAGAGGTTCCAACAAAAACAGTTTTGACTGATAAAAAGCTAGTCACAACTGATCACAGTGTCATATACGCAAATAAAACCTAGACCAGGAAGGGCATGTTTATTTTCTTAGGAGATCGAGATTTAGGACTCAAATAGAAATTACTTTTTTTTTTTTACTTAGGACTCAAATAGAAATTACTTTTCTTTTTTAAAAATTTCAACAAAAACTTTATTCGGTGCATTCATAAGATATAGGCTAAATAAATTTCAGTTGTAATTTCACATGTATCAAAAATACAGAGGATATTTATAACAACAAATGATAAACTAAAATATTGCAAAAGATTATAAACATTTTGCACACTAGTCAGTCTTTTCTTTTAAACAAAGTGCCCTTTAATGACAGATAAATGAACAGATTCAAACTATTGTAAACTATTTTAGACAGTAACCAAAAAAAGTTTTGTTTTCTCTTGTAAACAGAAGTTGATAATTTATAATCTTTTTTCTTTTTTTTCCCCACATCTACCATCTACCACTGACTTTTTACCATTCACTTCCTCCCCTACTTTCACTGGCAACCACACCACTCCTCTCCACTATCACATCTTCAGATTTTTCAACTTCTGCCATAAAGTACAGACACTTAGTAAAAATTGAGTGGGGATATACAATGTGTATCTTTTAAAGGTTGACTCACTTTTCTCAAACAGAAATTAGTTTCATGAAAAATTACCAATTATTTACCATTTAAATGGCATTTTAGTCAAGGGCTATCAAATTTCTTACTGTTATTACTACACTACAAAATTTATTGATTAATAATGTCCTACTTCATAAAGTAATTACCATCTACCCAATCCTGTTTCGAAGTAAACATTAGGCCAGTTAGCAATCTCAAAACCTTTAATGAAGAATGACTGGAAATCTATTTTCACTGCTTTAAATTCAGTCCTGAGACAAAAATTAGGAGATATGTGTATACACACACACACACACACACACACACACACACACACATAGGGACAAACTGAATTGAAATCAGTATTTAGGCAATAAGAGTCTATTGCTCTTTAAAATGTGATGGTAGCTAGCGGCATTTTAATCATATCATCCTTGAACTACAGGCTCAAACTTGATTTTAATAAACTACAAATGAATTTGGCTCGTTCTAAATGGAACTTTGTTATATTTTTTAAAAATGTTCATTGGGATGTTAGATGCATTTCAAGAGAGCAGGTTGCCTGTCTAATGACTCTGTACCTTTAAACCCACTGAAAACCAAGCAGGTGGAAACGAGCATGTGAATGTGTGACTGCTGAACTGACATCTTCCGGTGGTCTATCTGATTTCTCTCAAGCTGTAGAAAAAGAAGGTCTGCAGTGACCCTCCAGCTGATTGAATGTAAAACAGAAGAGTATGAAATGTGTTTTGTGAAGCAGAACTTTATGTCAGGTTAAAGCTAGATACATCTCCTCCACTGAATCTAAGCTCGTCAATTGTGCACCTAAAATTTTATGGGAAAGGATACTGTTTGATGCCGTCCACCAGTGGTCCATAACAGCAGTCATTCACAATGCACTGCAGACAAATGAGAGAAGGGGTCCAGGGTGGGGTGACCACAAAAACTATTATAGTAAACAGAGTCCTAAAAGCAGTAATTACTTTTCTCTCCCCCTTACACCCCCCAAAAAAGAAAGCTATCAAAAGGCTGTTCAGATTTAATCACAGAAAACAAAAATTGTATGCTTTTTATTCACTATAAAAGCAAGCTATTAAAAAGTGAAATGCTCTTCTCACAAATATTGCATTGCCATTTATGGTGCACCCTGACCTCAGTGATAGTTTATGATGACAGTAATTAAATGAGGTTTAAAATCCTTTACTCTGCTAGGCAGATAACAGCATTGCCACTGAAAATAGACAGCTGTGATTAATACCTGATAGACCTGATTTGCTAGAACTCCATCTGGAATCTGAGAAGGGTCCCGTAGCATACTATTTATAACAGACTTGGAGGCTGTAGAAGAAAAGAGATGAACTGTTAGCAGACAGTCAACACACTTTTAATGCAACATGAGAAGTGACATATACCTACATATACACAAACCATGAAAACAAAAACATTACCGATACTAATCACTTTTTCCTTTTTTTTTTAATCAAAGGAAAGCTTTTAATTAGACCATTTTGCCAAGTTTATAAGCCACATTGCCAGATTTGATGATGACCTAATTTTTCTAAGGTAAATTAACAAGTACAGACCTACAACATATGTCTCTTTGTAGATAAATTAGCTCTGGAAAAGCCCAATTGAAAAAACACACAAACACATGCATACACACACACACACACACACACACACGCACGCAACAACAATCAGAAAAGAAAATATTTTATCTTTTTAAAGTAGATATTTTATAACTGAACATATGTACACAGACATTTTAGTGAAGCAGGTCACTCTCAGAACTTTAGTGATGTCAATGAAATAACATTTAGCTAAGAAAGCATCTGAATTCCAAACCTTTCTAAAATAATCTCAACAACTGCTATAAAATGTTATGTCCATTTCACAGGTGAGAAAAGTAGCTAAAACTGATAGCTGAAATAATTAAATAAGGAAAAAATAAATACACATATACAATTTCCACCCAAAGTCACATGCACTTAGAAGTTCAGCTAAATCCTCAGGGAACTGCTATAGTAGAAAAGGCCTTAAGGGAGGCATCTAATGAAGGATGTCATTTCAGGTGACATCCTTCAAATGACAAGATAGGAGATCCTGCCTCACCATTCACTGCAGGCATACGGCAGCCAAGGTGGCCAGAATTCCTCTTGCTACCCGGGATGAAAGCAAGTCTCTAGAATGAAGCTAAGTGAGGTGTTGCCTAGGGATGGATTCTTTTAAATTCTTCAGTAGAATCATCCCCAAATAGTTATGAAAATGGCTTTGAGTCTGACCTATACAAGCACAAACTGAAATGCATATTGGATAACCACCTAGTTAATAAAATGCACACAGACCACAGATCTGCCTGATTCAAGTTTTGAAATGATTTTTGTTCTAATTTTTTAAAAAAGATTATTATGTTTGATCAACTTCAATACCATAAGAACACTGACAGATACGATAAATACTAGTGAATAATGTGGAAAGAAATAAGGAAATTATATCTTAATCACTTAAGCATAGTTTTGAGTCCACAAAGAATCAAATTAAGTAGAATGATTTTTATTACTGCTTAGTCTTAGTCACATGACTACATGTTCACACCAAAGCTATGTTCTCAGCCATTGGTAAAGGTATTTGTACTGCATGGACTGGTTATATGGAATCCAGAAAGTAGTTCATCCATGCTCTCCTATCCAGCCACAACTCTATACCCAGTGCTTCAACCTGGGAAAGTTACATAGCCAATCAAGTTCAATGTCTTCCTTTGTAGAAAGTGATATTATTTGAGCTGACTACCTTACAGGGTTCTTCCATGAGTCTTCAAATAAAAGAGCAATGACAGCATTTTGTTAAAGGTTAATAGTAGCAAATCAGACGCAGGCCTTTGCTTCACATAAACTCAGGTTGGACCCAATTATTTCTGAAAAAAATTAGCATGGGTGAATGATATATATATATATATATTGGGAATATGAAGCCTCCAATCATCTTAGAATAGATTATGGTAGCAGTGGTACTAAAAAGATAATAATGAATCTAGTAAACTCACTAATTTTAAGGCCTGGCCATCTAGAGGAAACCAAGGAAGGTGGCTCATTCATGAGGTCACCTCTGAACATGTGCTCTCTGTGTTCCACTCAGAAGCTAGAGCAGACACATTCTTCTATGTTACCCATGATATCAGCCGTCTCCAGGAAACAGCAGCACCTTCTCCCACACAAGGAGGTCATGGTGAGGGTGTTATACTGCTAAGTCTAATAACTACAGGAAGGAAAGATTATTATTATATAAAAGGCCAGAGTGTAATTAAAAGTATGTCCTACGAAAAATTACTGACCTCATACCAAACTACATGCAAACTCATTGCTAAAATCATAAAACAAAAGCTTTTTTTTAAACGGGGGGGAATAATACTCTTAAGATTTAAGTTGATGATTCATTTTGATGTAAGAAAGGGCACAATTAAAAGGAAAAAAAAAAACTAATGACATACTTTTCCTTGCAAGATAAATTTTAGAATAGTGTTCTTCCCAGATAAGAATCATAGCTAATAAACTAAAAAATAGACTCACATGTTCAATAGAACATTAGTCAAATCAAGGGAAGATCATGAGAGAAAGTCAGTTATTTACAATGGAATAGAAAAAAATTTACTATATAATGAGTCCACACTTGTTTTAAACTCAACAGAATGTCTTTTCCCTTCTTGCAACCTGTCAGTTTTTAGAACCGGAGATAAACTAAAATGAAGTCACATCCTCTGCTGCAGAACCAAGACATGCCTGCTGTCTACTCAAGGCTCTTTCTGATCAAACTTCTCAGAAGTATGTCAGTGTCTCAGGTCAAGGCAGAAAATGTAAACATATCTTTACACGCACATTCTGAACGTGAAAAACTGCCATCTCAAAGGGATGAACAAAACATCATTGGATAATAAAGGCAACTAGACAAACTTGTGGTGGTCAGGAGTGAGAGGTCTCAAGGAAACTTGTGCATTTCACAGAAGCTATCCTTAAGCCAGCTCTGGCCAACGTGGAACCAACTTTTATGACCACACATGGGAAGGAGTCCTGTTCTCCCTAACCTTTGCCAGAGGCACTCTTCTGCTTATTTCAGTTTGCCTCTGATATTGCCTCAAGTGATGGGAAAATTTTCTGCTAAGCACATACAAAACAGAAACCATAAGTCACCTGGAACTAGTCACAAAAACAGGAGAGAACTAGCATCTCTCTCTCTCTCTCTTTTTTAAAATTTTATTTATCTTTATTTACTTATTTATTTATTTTAATATGCCCGGAGAGGGAGGTGAAGAGAGAGAGAAAAAGAGAGAGAGAAAGTGAGAAAGCAAGCCGCCATCTCTGGGACTCGAACTGTGGTTGGCCATGTGGGAGTCCAGCACCCTTAACCACCACACCACCTGCTAGCCTCACACCACCATCTGTTAAAGCATGCTACAGAACACAGACAATAGGCAATGCCTGCACTGACATATAATGCTGGATATTCTGGTCTGTTCATTGTGAAATATTTCTAAAGAACTCACAAACCAAATATAACAAATGTCCATGCACCCTGATTTAACCCCTAGATCTGCAAAAAATTAAATATAGGTAGTCTACTACTAATTTGTATAAATGTTTTTTTTCAAATTAGTATTGCAAGATGTTGGTTTTACAAGTAAACTATTTTTTTCTTAATCCTGTTTATCACCTCATTTCTTCCAATTTTACTTAATTTATCCTTTCTGATCATTATTTCCTGCTTTCTACTTTGAGTTTACTACATTATCGTATCATTATACTATAGGTGTCACTATATGTGTGTGTGTGTGTGTGTGTGTGTGTATAGTATAGTATATATAGCCACACAAATATATATATATATATATATATAATATACTATTTCTTTAGAAGTCCTCACAAAATAAATTTTCAACTGAACTATTATCTGATCATTTATCAGTATCTCCTGCATATAAGAAATTTAGAATGTACTCACTCCAATCACAAAGCCTCTCTCCTCCATCCATGTTTTGTGTCTATTATTTTCGTTTAACTATTTTGTGTGTAAACACAATTTCACAATCAGTCTTATCTGTGAACTTGACTGGGTCATGGGATGCCCAGATATCTGAATAGACCTTGTTCTGGTTGTGTCTGTGAAGGTTTTTCTGGATAACATTAATATCTGATTGACAGATCAACTAAGACAGGCTCTGTCTTAATGTGGGTGGAACTTATCCAATTAGGTGGAGGCCTGACTGGAAAAATTAGGCTGAGTAAGTGAGAATTCTTTCTGCTTTGAGCTGAGACATCTCAAAAGATGTTTTTTTTCTACCTTTGAACTTTAACTGAAACACTGGCAATTCTTGAGTTCCAAGCCTGCTGGACCTCAGATTGGAACTATAATCATTGGTTTTCCTCGTTTTCCCATGTGCCAACTACCTATCTCAAGATTTAACAGCTTCCATAATTGCATGGGCCAATTTTAAATACATTATGATTTATTTTGTTGCAAAAATATTTGACATCCATGCACATATTTTACATAATATAAATATAAACATCCTATAGATTCTAGTTTTCTGGATAATTTTAATAGCTGCTTTTATTTTTTTAAAAAAAGTAATTCTTTTATTCATGTTTTATGCATGTATTTTTTTTTTTTTTTGTCACAGGGCATGTACCCTTTCCAGAGAGAGAAAGAGAGAAACAGAGTAGAAGAGAATGAGAAATCACCCTCTGAAGAGGATGGCTCTGCAACAATCCCTTCTACTCCATTTTCCTCTCAGGATTTTGGACAGACACACACATACACACACACACACCAGGTATAATTTTAAAGCTGCTGTGTCTAGGATTTGAACTGCGGTCAACCACCTGGCAGTCCTGCACCTTTGACGACCATGCTACCTGCTGACCTGTGCTTTCAATTAAAAAAAATAATTTAGGTTTTTTTAGATTTACTAACACATTTGCTATTTCTGCTTTTCAGCATGTTTCTTGACTCCTACTCTCATGTTTAGCTTCAATATGCCAGTTACTGAACCATGCATTTATTAGTTCTTTCTGCTGGATCCCTGAATGACAAAAATGTTAGCCGTACCTTACCTAAAAAATATCTACACTTAGTTTTCAGTCCTGAATAACATAACTGGGCATACAATTACAGGTTAGTGGTTGTTTTTCTTAAGTGTTTTATTGTTGCTTGGATTTTTTAGTTTAGTGTGTGCTCACTAGAAACAGAGAAAGAGACAGAAAGAGACAGAGAGAAAGTGAGAAAGCACTCCCAAGGAGCTGGCAATGCCACAATCCCTTCTCCTTCATTCTCCTCTGGGAAATTAG